TTTCTTTCGACTTCTTCAATGACTGCATTGAGTTCAGTTCCACTTCAATTTGTATTCTACGGATTCAATAGGTATAATACACCGACAACCTGTATGAAACCACCAAGTATCACGAATATGTCACCTTTTCCAACTGATAATGGTGGTAACATCTCTGTGACAGTCAATGGACAGTATTCCGGTGTTATTATTGCACAGATAGGTTGTAGCAACGATACAGAAACATATATCACTAATTTTATTACCGAGAGTCCGCTCGGTACGAAAACATCAAATTTTTCCTATGATCAAAATAATGCATCATAGTATTCAATGAAATTACAATGGACATCAATAATAGATCAACTCATTTCAACATTAACATTTTGTGTTATAGCTATTGATGTGAATGACGATTCATCCAACTCCTATTGTGTCAATTTTATTGTTGGTTCTGAGACGACGACCACAATGTTTACTACGGATACTCTATGACGCAGACGACAACAACGGATACTACAAGTGCGTCAATGATGACATCAGCTACGACTGTTACGTTCACAACTGAAACTACGATAACTACAACATCGCAAATGGTTACAGGTTTGTCTACTTAATTGTGTCAAAAACATTCTCAATTATCATTTGCTATATGTTTTTCTTTGACAGCAATGACATCAGTCTCGTCTTCAAATAATAGTCGAACATTGGCTTCAGGTCTTGGATTGGGTTTACCATTGATTTGACTCCTCACTTTACTTACTTAATATCTTTGTTGTCGCTCCAAAATTCAATCATTACAGATTAGTTTGATCTATTTACGTCGAACAACTCCAAGTAATCACTTGTTCATTGTTTAGATATTGCTATTGAATTAACGCAGTGAAATGTATTGACTGAGACTGATTCGTTTCTTCTCATAAAGACATTCATTGATTCCATCACTTTATTTGGAATATTTCTAGCTCATAAATTTCACTTTCGTTTAGAAATACAATTGGAGCAGGCAACATTACCAAATCAATAGCATGTGTGCATGTCAGACATTTGAGAGCAATAATGAAAAAAATCAAAATTTTGATCGTTCAATCTCTGATTATCATACACAATATATAAACAAAGTGGAGCTTTTTCAAAACGAATCATCGTTCAATGAGCAGCATCTATCATCACCTGATGGTTTTATTTAATTCAGAGTCTGTCTCTACTTTCGATCTGAAAGGGCTTCAATGTAACAACAACATTATTGCTTTCTTCTTCGGCCAAAAGTCTTCCTATGAATCATGTCGAATATTTCACGAATTCAGAATCAAAACACAAATTCGTTACCAACTGGTTCGATTCTTATTCGAGCCTATTCTAAACAATTGGCGCACAAGCTGGGGTAATAGACAACAACAAAAGAACATACTGTATGACACTTATTCTTTTTCGTATTAACAAACATCAACAACATTCAAATCTAGATAGCACCTTCTTCTAAAAATTAGAAATTTCAAATAAAAATTCTTCCAATCAAATTGTTTGTGTTCGTGTATCGATAAATCTGATCTTGATGAAATGTTCTATGACTGCACGAAATAAAAAGAAATAAGAAAACTTTCTTGAAAGATAATATATTATCTAGTCTTTCATATAATGGTTCTACAGTTCAGAATATAGGTTTTGCCAAAATAGAACAAGAAATAGAATACGTATATGTATTACAGAAAAGAAAACAAAACGCAGACTTCATGAATAATTACCAAAAAAAGAAAACCTACCAGAAGCTAAAAAGGTTTTGATAAATACATTTCATACTTATGAGCCTACAACAGTAAAAAGATATTCATATGAATCTCTTAGTTATCGATGATATGATTCTGTATACTGTTGTATTTTTTATCATTGTCTACATGATCAGTATAGGGTGATTCTTTTGAAAACGTACCAGAACGGATGTACAGAAAAATGCTAGTTGTACATGTCTTTTGAACATAGAATATCTTTATTCGAAACTTTTTATATTGTGAATCTTTATTGATATATCTATTATTATTATTTTTGGGATTTTCGTTTTTGACCAATACAATTTCGCAGAGAGAATCATTTCGAATTTGTGAAAATAGTATACTGCCATATCTGTTCTCAATATTATATAGTTTTGTTTCGCCCAAAGACGACATGATATTTTATTACGAACTTCAAACTATTATTGACGGTTCTATCCGAGAGTAGGTGTGAGTGTTTATTACGAAAAGCCTATTACTTATCTCCATACTGGAATCTAAATTCACACTCTCAAGATTGAATATCACAATCTATATTAACAATAAGAATATCTTTAGAATTTATTAATCTCTATACCAAACAAACCTTCTTTAATTATATATCTACAATTAATTATCGTTACGTTACGTTGATGCGTCATTGGTACTCGATATCAGATGCGTATGGTGAACTTCTGTGAAAAAAAATTTACCTACGGTACATTGCTGTTCTATAGGCATCGCTTTCTTCGATATTACTTCAATTAATTTGAATTATTTCGTCAATCAATTTAACATAAGCTAGAACAGTGCTTGAGAAATTTTAGCATAACCAGTCGTACATGACAGAAAAACATACATTTTCATGACCAAAATATACATCACTATAAACGTTTTCGATAATATGTTTAAAAAGTCTAAACATTATTTTGCTGGCGTTTCCAAGAAAATCAATAGGATGTTACAAATTTTTTTAAAAACCACGTATTATGCGATGTAATATTGAAACACTAAAGTGTATTCTACAGAGGTGCAGAATCTGCCGTAAAAACGAAAAATTTCCCCAACCGATAAAACTTTTCGTAAAATTTCCCTAGACTCAATAATTTTCAAAACCTTCCATAGACTCAATAGCTTTCCGAAAACTTTCCCAGACGCAGTAGTTTCCCAAAAAATTTCCCCCACCGCGCGGTGGCGCACACGGGTAGATTCTGCAGCTCTGGTATTCTAGCTAAACGTCAAATTGAATTCTTATGGAAATTTTTCTTTTTACATAAAGTCAGATGTGACTCAAAAGAATCGATTTAAAACATCATCTTCATTCTTTTTTAAATTGTAACATCTATACATAAAAACCGAATTCTAAATCGAAAATCTACGTAAGAAGCATCTGATAACAATTTGAACTCGATCGAATGTCACATCTTTGTAGAGTTTACACTATATGAAAAGATAATGTTTTGCGTACATATTCGATCAAGAAATCCTTTATCTTCTTCTGTATTCTAAATTGAATTGAGATCTATTTGTAGACATGGCGTAAATAGATGGTTAGGTTTTTTGTGTCATTATTTGGTGATGAAATATTATGTTACGTTATCGAGAGCTTTGACTTTCTTTTATTTGCATGTGAAGTTCTAGGTTAAAATCTTTCCATGCTCTTCATTACAACTTTATAGTAAAAAGGTGTGTATTCATTCAAACTCATATTTTGTAGAAAAATAATACTATCATCTATGTCTGCCTGTCTTTCCTTTCGAAAAAAGAAAAATCTTCTTACTACCTTTTTTTTCTCGTTACCTTATTGGTTAATTATTAATACAATATCTATAAATACAGAAAAAAAAAGAACAAAATACGTAAAACTAGAAAGTAAGATTGATCGGGAAAAATAGAAGCAATATTTGTATTTGAAACTAGTGTTTGATTCACTATTTTTCATTCTTTACACACTTCAGATTGGTCTAACCGATTTTTATCAGCATGTATACAATGTAAAAACGTCAAAATGTCTCAATAAAACATAATGTCATAAAAGATTTAGTATTTTATTAACAATATTTTTTGCAATTGGCCATATTAAAACTATGATAGACTATAAAAAGTACATTCGCGTTACAGACAAACTTTTTTAATAGTGTCATATTCAATATCATCAACTGATTTTCATGTTCAAACTTATCTTCAACGAAAAACCCATATTCATTGTAATATATCCTTGAGCTCGTACATAGAAAAAGCAATAGTGAGTGAAAAAATTTCCTGTATGAATTAGTAATTAAATATCAATTTCTTCATCAACTAAATCAAAAAGATAAACAGAAACTCAAAAAAAATGAATTCATCTGTTAAACAACATTGTATTTACATATGAAAAAAAGTATATTCTCAATCACAATTCATAACATAGAATAACTAATTCAATCGCTGTTGACCTCCTTATGTATTTAAAAAAAAAATTATATTCCTTTTCATATCACATGAATCGATTTATTTCATTTTATATATATTCATTTCTCATCAATACATAATTCACATGCTTTTTCAAGAGAGTGTAAAATATTTCCAGTGTTATTTGTACATTGATTAAAGTTATGAATAAGTTTTATTTTAATAATAGCAAATGCACTGAATATGCTTGGTACTATGTGAAATATTATTATGATATTGAAAACGTCCTTTGTAAAATGCAAAATAAATAATGTTGATGACATTTAACTTTTTTGTTTCTTGAAAAATTTCGACTTATCGATGCGATGAAATTCTTCATGATATTAATAGAAAATTTAAAATTTTCTTTCGATTGAATACTTTTATATATTTACTATGTCAAGTTTTTAACCTACTGCTCTTTTATCTTTATCTCAGTGCCACATAATTATTCAGAGATGCAGAAAAAAAAATGTTAATATACAAAGCGACTCCTTTCTTTTTCTTTTTCTTACTATTTATAGGTATACTCGTAGATGATTGAATATAAGTAGTATATCTGCCCCTTTTTTCTCTCTCTACTTTCACATATATCAATCACACACGTCATTCGTATAAAAGTTTATTCGTTTATTTTTTTTTCTTTCTTCGACATTTCTTTTTTACGCAGCTTTCTCAGTATTATAACTATTCTTTCACAAACGCGCTCTATAATCAAGAACTATTTACTTCATCTCATTGCAATCGTATTACGAAAGAGGAGTTTTATCTCTCGGTTTCATTTCGTTTTCTTTCAATAGTTACCTTCATAATTTGTCACATCTTTATCGTTAACAGAAAAATATGCGTGTAGCAGGGCGAATTATGCTTATTGGCATTATTATTACAGTGATTTCAGCTCTTTTTTGTGTCATCGGTTTATCTACAAAAGGATGGTCCAGTGTTGGTGGTGTTAGTTTATTCTGCAATGGATGTTCAAAATCACCAGCTGCTCTTTCTGTTATTTCATTTATTCTTCTGATTGTAACTATTGTTGCTCTTGTCTTACAAATGTTCGATATTTTAACTGGTCCTCTTCAATTAGTACCAATTACTTTATTATTCATCGCAACTATTTTTTTATTAGGAACACTTGCATCCATTGCAGAAGGCTCATTAGGTTACTCGTTTGATCTAATGGTAGTAGCTCATTTCGGTTCATATCTAGCTTTAGCTATAATAGCATATTGGCTTGGTCAATCAAATGCAGGATCGAGTTAATCCTAAATACTTGAATGAATATTGTAAATAGATAAAGACAGTATATTAACAAAAAAAAAAAAATTTATGACTTATATTATTGTATTTATGATCAATGTAATCATGACTTTTTTTATATGTTACATGTATTCTAATATATTGAATAAAACATCGTATTTTAAAGTTTTGTTTATAAATTTATGAATCTGAATAAATAAAAGAATATTGAAAAGATTGATTTGGCTCATGAAAACTTGTTCTCTATTCATACAAGTAATAAGAACAAAAACTTTAGTATAATTACAAAAAGATGTGCAAAATTCTTTTACAACTGATAGATTAATGTTTTTATTGCATCAAATATTTCTTTAATCTCTTGTAGCATATACGAAAAAAAACGCGTAATTCTAAGACAACAATGAGTCATCAAAATATTTTTCTTATTCATTTCATTTTCAGTGTACAGTTAATTTTATAAATAAAAATTCATAAATTGATGATACGGAATTTTTCTTTTTGGTCAGATTTTTTTCTTCATGGATAAAGAATAAAAAAAAGAACTGTTATGTGTTCGCTTAATTGCTATTGATGAAATTAGTATATACAGTCGTAGACAAAAGTCATCGTCCATCATAAGATGGATTATAAAAAAGATCAATCTTACTAAAAAACTAACATTTTCTCTTCGAAATATATTCTTAATGAGAAGATAATATCTTAGATATTTTAATGTTGTTTCTAACGAATTTAGCATTAGAGATACGTACGGGATTGAGTTTTCGTATGAGTACTTAGACAAAATATTTTTTTCATCATAGTCGAGATACAGTGATCACAAGAGGAAGATAATGTCTGAGCCATAACTTCAGTGCATGTATTGCCACACATATGCACCCCAGCATATCTGCTCAATATCATAGAGAATAGTAGTACAACATGGAGTAGGACAGCTGCTTTTGTCGAGGACTATAGGCATTCATATTATAGTAAGTAGACATCATTTCTCATTATGATGCAACTCAAGAAAAGTAGATATATATTATTTTTTGTTGATAATTGAACAATGGCTGAAACTGCGTTTGAGTCATATGATGCAAAAATCGTCTGAATTTAATCGACTATTTTTAATGATAATTCCAGTGCATTTGTTTATTATTATAATTATGCATAAAAAGATTCTTCTAGAATCTGTTGGCATAATTTGACATCTAGTCATTGAAATATCTCTCTAATATTTATTAGAATCAATGAATCTGTAAGTTTAAACTACATTATTCGTTAGTGAACAAACATTAAGAATCAACTATTGAATAAAGAACGCTTTAGTTAAAGATGCTAGATAATATACAATTTATAGAAAGTATTTCTAATCCCGATCATCTATTTCTTTGTTAATTTGATACAAACTGAATCTTTATACTGATATTGATGTTACAACAAATAAAATTATTATTAACGAAACAGGAAATAAAAAATGCATTATACGCTATAAAAATAGCAGTATCATTAAAGTCGAAATCAATCAAAGAATTATCAAGAAAAGAAGTAGTTAATAAAATGAGAAATATCTTTTGAAGAGCATTTAAATGAATTTTACAAAATTAGAGAAACAAAGACACAAATCTATCAAAATATCCGATGTATGTCGATCGTGTCTCCTTGATTGCAGACATGTTACCTTTATTTCAGAAAACAAAAAGTGTCTACTTTATGGAAACAATGAGAAAATAGATATAGTATTATGACTAGTGTATATTGCTTCGATTAAGAATAATTAATCTAACATTTTATAATGTTATCGAAAAACTTAGTCATGAAAACTAAAATTTTCTTTAATTAATATATGAGTGAATTATGCTGACATTGTATCCTTGCATTCCATAGACGGACACATTTATAACTTAAAACGTTTTTTTATCTGTCTTCGCTTCGAAGTATTGAACAAGAAAGTTCAAAATCAGTAGTCTTTCGCGCTATCAACTTATAAAGTTGACTTTTTTGTCTCAAAATTTTGACTAATTTCAATTTACCTATTAAATCTTGCAAAAACTATCTGTACATACACATTGACTATTTTATGTTCCGACAGATTGAACTTGATCTACTAAAGCCAATTCGAAAAAAACGTGAATTCTGCTTTTGATGTTCGGTAGACTAGAGAACCACAAATCCTTGGATAGAAACACATTTCTAGCAACCATTTGAATCAGATGAGAAACTAAAAGTACATAGAACAGGTAGCTATTTTTCTACTAAATGTCTACACACAATTTTTTTTGATTTTGTCTCTTTAACTTTTCGATAACTACAAGAGATCAGCCAATGAATTTTTTTCGTCTTTTCTAACTGACCGAGTGACAGATGTTTGGTAGAAATTTTAGCTTTTAAGTGAGTACCATTAACGAGAAAACATAAGTTAATTTCACTATTTTTGTCTTGAAGAATATCTGGATAGTCTTTTGAATGTTGATATTTATCAAAAGAGAGTGGACTCGTTTTGGTTATTGACATATCAAAATATTCAATGTAACTGATAAGAGTGATCTTGATTATGAACCTAATAAAATTTAAAGATTCCATTATTCTTCATTAATGACTTTTTTCTTGATTTCAATTCTATAAGATTTCATCATTCAATAGACAACATATCTTTTTCGCTGGACATGAAATTATTTATTCAGTCTTCATATTCTAAAGTTGAAAATTTTATTACCATTTTAATCTTTCAAAATATGGAATATACATAAAAAATACACAACTTTGAAAATGTCATGAACATCATACATGTTTTTTCATCTCCATAGAATATATGAAAAGTTCTTAAATGGTTTTTTAATTTTCTAATCACTATCTGCATGCTGTAGACATAATTGAGAAAGTTTTTTTTTTTTTCTAAAAACAAATATTTGTTTTATTCAATGTTGTTTTTTGTTTGCGTGCTTTCAACTTCAATTAATGATTATACTTTCGAAGAGATAACATCTTTTCAATATTACACCAACGGGATCCGAGTACAACATACTATGTATTCACAGTAGCAAATTCGTGTAAACAAAAACATCCAAGTTATTGTATACCAGATGTGAGCGAACTGAAGATTCACATTCACATCCTTTCCTAGTCTATCGATCTGTTACTTATGTGCAAAATATGGAACTAAAAGTGATGAATCACTGCAAACGGTTCCATTCTTAGCCTATTAATTTACATTCCTAACTAAAATATAATGTATAGCATAGTTTTCCATCAGCATTGAAATATGCCAGTCAAAAACGTTCATTTCAATTTGTTAGTTCAATAGAATTTTAGCAGATTTGTTTACTTCTAGTTTCAATTATTGTACAAAAAGAAAAAGAAAAGTCAAGAACGGATCCTAATTTTTCCGAATATTTTTGTTGATTTAACTTAATCGCATTTTATAAAAATCAATTAATTCATCATTTTTATTGTGTAGTCGAATAGCTTCGAATCCAACTATATTTATTAAATTAATTTTTATAACGATAAATGACACATTCAACCAACAAAATTTGAAGAACTACACATTTGGCATTAAAAAAACAGTGTTAACTGATTTATTTATTTTTAATGCAATATCCGGAATGTCAATTATGGAGAATGTCGAAGAAATATTTTTATAAAAAGTATCATTGACATATATACATGTTGATTATTTTTCCAATGCTGGCAATATAGATGTGTAAAAAGAACGATAAAGTGTGGCCTTGAAAATGTTTGTTAAACAGGAAATCATATTTTTTTTTGTCGATTGTGAACAGTCATATAGGAAAAAAAGAAAATGTTGATTGAAGTTTACTACGGTGATGCTAATGTTTTACTTGTCAATGGAAACTGTCGAGTAAATTAGATTTTTGTTTGTTTTTATTTTCAATAAACTTGTTTGGTTTTTTTTTATTAATTAGCCAATACATTTAATAAATTATATTCGAACTCATTGTTGTTTATCATCATCATTAAAATTTGATTTATGTTTATTAAATAGCGGAGAGCCATTGCATCTTTCATCATTTGATTCAAAATTTGTTTCATTTGAACGTCGTTGTTTTCCATCACATATTCGTTGTGTATTAACACAAATTGATGGTAAATTATTTACTAAATTTCTCTTTTTATAATAATAAGAAAAATAAAAAAAAAATATTTTTCATTTTAGAAGAAGGAACATATATTCCATTATTAAATGATTCAACATTGATAACAAATGAATTTTTATTGAAATTAAGAAGAGCAACAGGTGCCAAAGTTATATCAAAAGTCATTTCAAAATCAGAAAAACAATCAACAAATTCATTAGCTGAAGAAGCAAAAGCACGTCGAACTCTTAAATCATTCGTTATTGCTGCTTCTATTATGAACAAAACTAATCATTAATAAAAATAATTTTCAAACAAAACTCTACTTTTTAATTTCAATTATTCATCTTTTTGTGAAATGCGATCTTAAAAAAGTGTTGAAATTTAGAAATAAAACTTTGAACTTTTCTTCTGCATCCTCCTTATTGCATTCCTGGAAGGTTAAGTAAAATAATGTTGAAGAAATGTATCCCGTTATAATAGAATAATACAATCTCACTGTGATTAATAACAGTATCTGTATCGTGTTTCACATTTTAATCTCACAGCAATTGTACTAACAAATTTTTCATTAATAAATGTTCTTAATAGAGAAAATTCTATTGGATAATCCCGATAGTTATTTAGTTTTGGTTGCTTTCTTCAGGTTATATTACTATAATAAAAAGTAATAATGAAAATAGTTTCATTAGTTCTTTATTTTCCTAGTAGATGGTCATGAAATTTTCTATAAAAAAAAAGATTTAACTTCAACATTGTTCTGAGAAATCAAGAAACAACATCAAAACGTTTCAAAAGTAAGAATCGAATGATGAAAAGTATTTTCGATGAAAATTTTACTAAGAAATTACTTTCAAAAAATGAACCACATTCACATCCATATCCAACATCCTGTTCGCGAGATTCAAACACTATCCTAAGCGTTTT